GCTGTCGTTGGGCGATGGTGGAGCTGGAGTCTCGAGGGTTCGTTTGGACGATGAGGAGGGGGAGGTCGTGTGAGGGTGGTCGACGTTGGGCAGCAAGGTAGCAGCAAGGGGGGGGAAGCCATGGTTGCTTGCTTGAAGCTTGAGGAAGAAGAAGGAAAGAGAGGAGGGGGGCGGATGGGTANGTAGTAGTAATAATAATATTAATAACAACAATAAAAACTACTACTACTACATACTCTCACAAAATCCACCAATTTCTTCAATTTCTCCAATCATCTATATGTAGAAGTGTTAGTTCTGGAGTTCTCGCAATAATTTCTAGAAAGCTAGCAAGCTTTCGACCTTTTTCCCCAACATCTTGGTTACGATTATTAGACGACACATCAACTACCTTCCCCAGAGGAAGTTTCCAAACATCTTTCAGTAAAGTAGGTCCACGAACCTTTCTTGGCTCCGAATTACCTGGAATGGAAGATTTAAAGGTCATCAAATGGCAAAAGTATATATGGTCAACACTAAATGTATACAAAAGGTAAGTGTTTATCTTCAATTAATTAGTAAATGTATATATGCCTTCAAAGTCACTCTAATTTGGATTAGCTCTAAAATTTCAAGCCTCAGAGAAGCTACTGGAAAGCTACTTAATGTAAATGTTTTACAGAAACCAAGTACTGCTCTTCGGATTGATGTACGAATCTAATGGCAAGTGAAATAAATCTCGTGCTACTGGAATGTGCTACTGAAATCAGCAGCCAAGACCTTCAGAATAAAAAAGGAGTGCTTGATATCAGCCACAAACTAATTACAAGCTTAAACATAAAATGACTGCTTGACATCTGTTGAATCAGTGAGCTTATTCATGCAAAATAACCTTGCATCTTGGAGGTTGCCTAATGTGTTATTTCATGTTTGCTATCTTAAAAATGGCCATAATCTTCCACAAATTGTCAGTAGTAAGTAGTCTATTTGACTTACTAAACCTTATTCAGCAGAAATAAGTTTCAAAATCTTATTGCAATATGACTTAAGTACAGAATGAATAGAGTCAATGTAGTAAGCAGTTAGATACCATTGATCAAGTTTAGATTGAGAAAGCAGGGGAATCAACGGGTTGCAGTTGCCTCTGAATTAATATTATCATGGTTATAGACTTATAGTTTGATATAGAAAGAAAACTCGAGGCCAATTTCAGAAGATAATTCTCAGAAGAGTGCTGACAAAGATGTTACTGAAGGTGATAATGTTCATGTGAAACCTAAGGAAAATACTAATGTGATCACTAATCGAGTGGAGGATGAATCTAGTGTTGTTAGAAATTTTAAGATCGCATCAGGTGCTACTGTTGATCCTAATGCTCTTGTGGTTACTAATGTTGTGAAAGCATCAGAGGTGAGAAGCAGGTACTTTTGGCATACTGTCACAACATCATATGCAGTGTTTGAAAATAATATTCAAATGGAGGGTAGCACCTCATGCACATAGGAATCAACATAGCAAAGGTTAGACACAGAGATCCAGCAGACCTCACATGCAGCTAATGTCAAAAAAACCAGTATCATCAACTGGTACAAAGCTGCAGGCCAGATCTGTTGGAAGAGGTTTTTTAATACTAGCAACACATACAGGGATCCAGGCAAGAGGAAAGTAATTGAAGCAACACTGGGTACTAAGTGGAGATACAGAAACAACTGGAAAGTACAACACAAAACATCACAAAGAAGGTCATGGAAACAACATGATATGCTAGACCATTTGTGGATGAGGCACAAGGGAGAAGTTCTTAGCTTGTGGATGAGGCAGCACGTTTTAACTGGATCTATAGGTTCTATATACATTCTTAAAAGAAGGAACTCATCACATACAACTAGAAGAATATATAGGATACACATCAGGATAGGAAGATCAATTTTCACAATGGAATGGTGGACAACAAAATGCAGAGTTAACATAGAATTATGGAACTGGGCAGTGATAGCAACAAACAAGCACACTGGGACATTGAGCTGGATAGGATACTACTGGGCAGTACTATGGCATAACATTGGCTACTATGGCAAGCACAGGACTAGGACATAATTCCTAATCGAAATTGGCTATTTTTGAAACTACAGCAAAATATGCAAGCAGCTGGACAAACTCCTACATCAACGCGATATGTTGGTGTTATTGAAGGGATTAAGGATGATCATAGTGAGAGAAAAGCAGCTGGACAAACTCCTATGGCTAAAGGTGTTAGACATGTACTTGATACTTCAAAGAAAACTGCTACAAATCCAAGGACTGGACATGTTTGTGATGCTTCAGGAAAATCTATTACAGATTCTATAACATTACAGTTGCAACAGAAGCTATTATGATAGACGTTCTACCTTGGCATTCTGTCTTTTTCTTGGGCCTAATCTCGATTTTCCAACATTATAGAGTATATACAAATTCTATAACATTACAGTTGCAAGAGAAGCTATTATGATTATGGGATGCACGACATCTTTGACAGCAATACTAGATCCTAGAAGAATTGCAGAAGAGGCACATCCATATAACCAGTTCAATATCACAATAGAAATTACAGAAAACTACGATTGCTAATTACACTATATAAACTAGTTAGATTAACACACAATTAAGATTTGAAAATAATTTCAGAGAAAAGTGTTACCTGATTCATCATCATTATGTTGAACTTCAGTGCCACCAGCAGAACTGTTCAACTCATTAGATTGATCATCATGTGCCCGGTCTTTAGAGTTGTTCCTATTATCCATCAACTGTTCAATATAAGGCTGGGCCGCAGTATGATTTTGAGCATCCATCAAATGCTCAATATAAGGTCGCACATCTTCATCGTCGTCTTGTTCAATTACAAGTCGGTTGCGACCTCTAGTTCGCATAGTTCCTTCTCCAAAAATAAAAAATAAAAATTATCTAGTTGCATTAAGCTATATTAGTACCAGATTAACTCCAATAGATCAGCAGGTCACGTGCAAAACAGGAGGAAGCACCGTCCTATTCACAAGATATGAAAAAAATTAACAACTCGTGCACACAAACAAAGCCTTGTGACAAATATTGTTTTAGAGATAAGAGTTATTGATGCACTAATAAAACAATTATCAAGTGATAATACCACCTTAGCATATCACATTTAAATGGATATAATAAGCAAAATATAAGTAAATGAAAGCACAACGAATTCACTCAAACATCCAATATCAAACTTCTGAAGTAAAAAAATAACACCCTTAGAAGTTCTTAAATAACACTTGCAAAAAAAAATATTCTATAAGTTCCACCTATCTTATTCAGAATCACATTCATTTTCTATGTTATTTCTTCCCTCAATATTAGCTTCACCATCATTTAGAGAAACTTGAGAATATACGTTTGTATCAATTACTATTCCATCGATACCACTTCTTACCCAATCATTATACTCATCTTCTAGAACACGAGAATTTTCTAAAAGAGCTAAGTCAATGGCATCACTCTGCGTTGATGACTCAAGATGTACACTATTTTCCTCCCCCCATATTAAAAATGTCTCGAAGTTTAATTAACCTAGGGACAAACCATTCATGATCTTGAGGATCTTGCACAAATATTACTTGTTGAGCTTGTTCTATAAAAATAAAGGGCTCATGACGTTGTCGATCGCCAGAGTCTGTCAGGTATGAGAAATTCACAAGTGTGAAACCCAAGTTGTCTTCCTTAATTCCTCTACCTTTGGTTACATCAACCCAATCACACTTAAATAAGATAACCTTAAATTTTTCATAATAGTTTAACTCCACAATATCATTCAATCTGCTATAATATATGATATTTGTAGATTTTGGAGCATTGTCACTTGTGCTTGCATAACTTTCAGTCTTTGAAACGACCATAACAACACTATTTTGTGTCACCTTGAACTCTTCACTTTGTTTCATTCGGAATCGATAGTCGTTATTTACATCGAACGCACTAAATCTTTTTGCAATGTAACTCGGCCCTTGTGCAAGGACTTTAACATCCTTTAAGATGTTAGATGTAGCTTCCAACTCCTTTACCTAACCAAATAAAAGATACAACTGTAAATATGGATATCTGTACAAGGACAATAATTTAATGTAACCAATGACTTAGTCCTACTACTTACTTGCTCTTTGAACCACTCATGGAATGTATCGAAATGCATACGGTCAAGTTGATGTTGTGTCAAACGATGCTTACGATGTGCTCTTTTAATTTCAACAATATGTTCCCTATTCATGTAACTCGTATATATCAATTTCTCATCAAATAAGTAATATAAATATATTAAATAATAGATATAACACTTACTTTTTATAATTCTCAACGACTTCTGACTCACAATTGAAAAGCACATACCGATGTGCTTGCAACCATGTTTTCTCATCCAACTCAAATACATCTACTCCACCGTACGACTCTCCAACAGTAGGAAAAAGACATTCTTCTTTACTAGTCTCATGCTCAATCTCATCACTGCATTTTCTTGAACAATAAGACCTGAATCTCCACCCTCCAAATATCGTGAGCAAAATACCATACACCCATTTGCTATGTATGCTTCTGCTATTAAACCTTCTGGACATGCACGATTACGAACATATGATTTTAAAGTACCCAAAAACCTATGGAACAAAGTAATATTATTAGTTTGATATTAGAATATTTAACAACTAAAGACATAAAATAAAGATTCAGTGATATTCTTCATACCTCTCAATTGGGTACATCCAGCGATAATGTACTGGCCTCGCGTCTTTAGACTCAGTTGCCAAGTGAATTACCAAGTGTATCATAACAGTAAAGAATCCTGGGAGGAAGAGTTTTTCCATAGTAGACAATGTTTCTAGAATGTTTTCTTCAAGTAACTTTAACTCTTCTAGTTTTATCTCTTTGCTACACAGAACACGAAAGAATGTGCATAGTTCAATTAAAATTGAACTAACTCTTTTATCTACTGATCTCCGCAAGGCAAGAGGAAGAAGTTCTTGCATTAAAACATGACAATCATGAGTTTTTAGCCCAGATATCTTTCGTTTGCGAAAGCAACGTGAGATATTAGACGCATAGCCATCTGGAAACTTGGCATTTTGTAGTACTTCATAAAATAACTCCTTTTCCCTCGGAGACATTGTGAAAAAAGTAGCAGGAAGATATGATCTACCACTAGCTCGGTACTGAGGCCATAAGCTTGGTCTTACTATTATCTCCTNTCATCTGGAAACTTGACATTTTTTAGAATTTTATAAAATAACTCCTTTTCCATTGGAGACATTGTGAAAAAAGTAGGAGGAAGATATGCTCTACCACTAGCTCGGTACTGAGGCCAGAAGCTTGGTCTTATTTTCATCTCCTTCAAGTCCAATCGAGCCTCTAAGTTGTCTTTAAACTTTTTACCAAGATCCAATAATGTATAAATTATGTTATCACACACGTTCTTTTTTATGTGCATCACATCAAGATTATGGCACACCAAGTTAAATTTCCAATAAGGAAGATAAAAAAAATACTTCTCTTTTTCCATGTGTTTTTCATCACCCCATTTACCGCTTCACTTGATTGGCCAAGAGTAAATTTTATATCTTTAACTTGATTCAGCACTACTGAACTAGTTACTGGACAAGGTGCAGATCTTGTTTCTTTAGTCCCATCAAATGATTTTGCATCATTCCGATATTTGTGTCCTGACTTCAAGAAGCGGTGATGCCCCGTATAACAAAACTTTCTGCCATGTTTGAGCCTTCTAGATTGAGTATTTATATTACAAGAAGGTCATGCAAATCTACCATAAGTGCACCATCCCGAGAGAGTACCATATGCTTGAAAATCATTTATCGTCCACATGAGAACTGCTCGCATTTGAAATATCTCCTTAGTAGAGGCATCATACATTTCTACACCAACATCCCATAATTCATTTAACTCTTCTATTAGAGGTTGCAAAAAGACATCAATATTATTTCCAGGCGCTTTTGGTCCAGGAATAAGTAAGGACAGAATGAAGAACTCTTGTTTCATGCACATCCATGGTGGAAGATTATATGGCACTAAAATCACTGGCCATGTACTGTGGACAGTTCGCATTGTGCCAAATGGATTAATTCATAATCTGCAGGATGTCGTAGAACTCCATCTTTATTGCGCTCTTCATGATGCCATCGCATTGCTTTAGAAGTTTCTGATGACATAAACAATCTTTGTAGCTTCAGTTTTAAAGGAAAATACCTTAGGACCTTGACTAAAATTTTCTAGCATCATTTTTCCATCTAGAAGCCCCACAAACTTTGCATTCATTGACATTCTTATTAGCAAACTCTTTCCTAAAAATCATGCAATCAATGGACAAGCATGGATTTTTTCATACTTTAAGCCCAAGCCTTCAACTATCTTTTTGGTCTCATAGAAAGAAGTAGGCAATTTTTCTCCTTCAGGCAGCACATCCTTCAATAGTCCAAGCAAAGCATTAAAATATTCATTTGACCATTTGAACATGCATTTTGTACGATACATATGCAGCAAAAAGGACAGTTTGCTAAACTTCTTACATCCTGGATATAGTTCTTCTTTTGCCTCCTTCATGAGTCGTTCAAACTTATCCACCTCTGCATGAGGTTGATTTCCAGATGTATGAGCAATATTCTCTTGTAAGTTATGATCTACGTCACCCTTTTCATTAACGTCATTATCCATGAACTGTGTAAAGCCTCCAAAGGCATCATGTATCATTCCAGTCATATCATCGCCCCTTAGAGTTGACTGGCTTTGATTATTTGTTTGAGCATTACTTGATCCCTTTAAAGACTCACCATGACAAAACCAAGTATCATATGATGGCATAATACCATTAATCACAAGATGATCATATGTTGTAGCCCGATTAACTTGATGGATAAGCATACACATCATACAAGGACATGGAATTTGTTCTCCATCTTGATTTATAGAAAAGGCATGGTTTATAAAATCATCTACTCCATCCAAATATTCTTTACTAACTCTATCACAATGCATCCATCTTTTATTTCTAGGATTGTCCATGACGTTCAAGATATTCTTTTCTTTTCTACACTTACTGCAATAGCTAAAAATTCGTTAGTAAAAAGAGGGATTTATTCAAAATGTAGTAAAATAGCCATCCTATTTGTATGTAATTCCATAGCTCAAAGATTATTGTACAACAAACAACAAAGTTCTGGATATACTCGTTTATCTCATTCTTCTCTTCTACTCTTCTCAGTTATTCGACAATAGCTGTTTTGTTTAGTTTTTCTTTTCTCGGTTTGATTTTCTCGATTCAGTTTTCCAGTTTGAGACCCAACTAATCTTGTTTAAAATTATAATTTTTTTAATATATAGTTTGTGATCTATGCAGGCATTATTTCATTGGCAATTTACTTATCTAAACATATTTATTAGTTTACTAAGGTTCACTTCTTTTATTCTTTCCTGCGTGTTTTCTTCTTAGTGTTAGGTGAGATAGCGGCAAACATTTGTTATTACAAATGGCAATGCTATCATTTTAATTTTACCCGAGTTTTGTTATTAAAAGCATCACATCTATGTGGATTCACCCACGACTATTCAGTTTTCCAAACACAAATACTTTGTACCTACCTAATAGAACTAAAGTTGTCTAGCATACTGATCTATTATCGGATTATAGGTTTTTAGATCTCAAGACTATAATGTTGTTCTTTACTGTGTAAGACATGTATCTTTCCTTCCTTTCAATACTCAATTCTACTTTTAGCATTTATATAGATCAAAGGACCCATCACTTTTGCATTTGATTGGCAGTTTTTTGATAAGTATAACAGAAAATATATAGAGAAATACATCTCGACTAATGGTAGATTCAATGAAAATATCAATATGCATCGACGACACTTAAAATTTTTGAACAATGACAAGAATAACAGAAAACATACAGAGGAATTCATATCTCGACTAGTGGTAGATTCAATGAAAATATCAATATGCATCGACGACACTTAAAATTTTTGAACAATGACAAGAATAACAGAAAACATACAGAGGAATTCATATCTCGACTAGTGGTAGATTCAATGAAAACATCAATATGTATCGGCGACACTTATAAAATTTCTGAATAATTACAAGAATAGCAGAAAATAGAGGAACAAAATCATAAAACAGTCAAGGAACAGATGAGGAATAAACCCAATCACCGCATGTCAATTTAACAGCAGTCGGATATCACAAAAAACTTGCATATGCAGAAAAAACTGTACTTTCGCAAATCTCAAATTGCAACAGTTGAAGGCATGAATTTGTACCTGGTAAGCAGATTGTTTTGCTGATAAACACAAGAAATTGAAACTAACAATGAGTTATCTGAGTTCTGCAATGATCTTGAAACCTACAGGAAAAGAGAAGTGGGAAATGGATAAAACAGAGAATACTAACAACGACGATAGAGCATAATCGAGCAGCACAATCCTAACTCCACTGTTAATCACGTCTGCTGGGTGAAAATGAAGATACCTGGGAAGAAGAGCAGTTATCTGGGAAAAACACTGGCCGAAGACCTACGATTCTGTTAATCTCGCGTCTCTTCCGTATCCCGTTCAATGAAAGAATAAAAACTCGCCGAAGGCGAAGACCTATATGTGAGATTCTGTTAATCGTAGCATGTTCAATGAAGCAAAATTGTATCCCGTTCAATGAAGGAATAGGTTTTTCTATTTTTTCTATTGGAGGTAATCGTTTATTCTTTGTCCAAAATATTTGGAGGGAAAGATTTATTTTTGGGGAAGGGAGGGAAAGTTAAAATAAAAGAAAAACTTATTTCCTAAAAGTCAATTAGTAACTTTTAATGGCAATTTATTTTTATTGTCGGTAAAAGGATATTTTTTACTGGCTAATGGTCATTTGCCGCTAATATTTCAGCTTATAGAATATATTAGCGGCAATTGACTTATTGCCGCTAAATAATTATTGCCAAATACCCTTTTTGTAGCAGTGACATGCCACCAAAGACATCTGTAAGTTCATCTTCTCCTTCGCAGGTATGTTCTACACTTAAGTCACTTACTGTTATATCTTCTCCATCTCAATCATCATTGTCTCAACCACATCCTAGGTTGCAATCTTCCAATCATCGCATGGTCACTAGAGCACAGAACAACATTTTCAAACCTAAGGTCGTTTTTGACTACCTTGCCGTATCCTCACCAAAGTAGCTACCTCTTGCTCCTACCACATTTTCTCAAGCCAAGAAATACCCTGAGTGGCAGCCTGTTATGCATGATGAATTCATAGCTCTTAAAAACAATACCTGGTCTTTGGTTCCTAGCTCACCCTAACATGATGTTTTTGGCTGCAAGTGGCTTTATCGTGTTAAACATAAACCCGATGGATCGATTGATCGATTCAAAGCTAAGTTAGTAGCCAAGGGTTTTCATCAACGTCCTAGGGTTGATTATCATCAGACTTTCAGCCCTGTAATAAAACACACTACTATTAGGCTTATTCTTGCTCTAGCAGTGTCATTCAAGTGGCATTTACGTCAACTAGACCTAAACAATGCCTTCTTGCAAGGAACTCTCAATGGGGTTGTCTATATACAGCAGCCACCGGGTTTTGCCAACCGCGGCTTTCCACAACATATCTGCAAGCTTCACGAATCCATTTATGGCCTTCGTCACTCTCCTAAAGCTTGGTACAAAGAGCTCAAAACCTTTTTTCTTTCCTGTAGGTTCCTTAGAGCAAAATCAGATGATTCTCTGTTATGAAATGCTCTCCTAACTCGCTTCTCTTTGTCATGATCTATGTTAATGATATTGTGGTCACTGGTTCTAATTCCTCTCAAGTCCAAACCACCATTCAACTCCTAGGTGATAGGTTCTCCATTAAAGACCTTGGTCCCTTGAATTTCTTTCTTGGAGTCGAAGTTCTACGAAATGCACATAGTTTAATTCTCACTCAAAGTGGCTTTATTACTGATATTCTAGAAAAATTTATCATGCTAAACTCCAACAGTGTTGGCACGTTGATGTCAGTCGGTGAAGCTTTCTCACTGAATGATTATGCCACACCTGCTGATGCCAAACTATATAGGCAAGTTGTTGGTTCCCTATAATACCTAACTGTTACTCATTTGTACATCTGTTTTGCAGTAAACAAAACTTGCTCAATTTCAACATGCACCTAGTTGGAAGCATTGGCAGGCTGCCAAACAACTTCTACACTACCTGAAGGGCACTATCACATATAGTTTTCATTTTCATCCCAGTAGCTCACTCAAACTTCAAGCATACTCAAATGTTGATTGGGGTGAACTTCTTGATACGAGGCATTTGACTTCAGCATATGTTGTCCTTTTTAGAAACAATCCCATAAGTTGGTACTCCAAAAAGCAATGGATAGTTGCTAGATTCTCCACATAAGCTGAATATAGAGCTGTTGCTTCAGCTATTGCTTTAGTTGTTGCTGAGCTTAATTGGATAACCAACTTGCTGAAGGAGCTTCACATTCTAATATCCAATCCTCATATGGTGTTTTTGTTGGGAATAAACCTCATACCAAAATAATATTCATGGTAATAAAAGCAGAATAATAATGTAGCACCGAGATACGGTAATTAACAAGAATAAAAGAGTAACAATGACACCAAGATTTTTACGTGGAAAACCCTTCTGAATAAGGGAAAAACCACGACCCCGAGAGGAGCAACTGATATCACTATAGTAAGGAATTTACACTTTGTAGGCCCGAGTAAAAATACTACAAAGACCACTACAATACTCAAAATAAATAACCCTCTTTTGATATTTCACCTCACTACAATATCGCTCACGCTCTCTATTTTCTTTACAGACTATTTTCTTATATCCTGTTTGTGAAACCTCACTCTTTCTTTCTAGCTCTCAGATATATTTTCCTCTGAGATCGATGATCAAAAATGAGAGCCGAAGCTCTCATTTTATAGGCAAAAACGAGCCTCTCATACTTGACATTTCAATGTTCTGCAGCATACTTTCTTTTACAGACAAAGAAAACGTGGGCTGATGCTGCCTATATTGAAAACTGAAGCAAGGAAGAAAACTTCTTCCTTAAATTAAGGGGCTGGACCCCACAAATCTCCCCCTCCAGTCCCATTCACCTGAAGGGGATAACACCGCAGTTTCTAGTTTGAGTGTATGCGGACAAGTTCTTTGCATAGCTCAAACTTGTCTCTTGGTACCACTTTGGTCAGCATATTTGCAGGATTTTCGCTTGTGTGAATATTTTTGACTTGTACAGATTCGTTAGCCACCTGCTCACGAATCCAATGATATCTCACATCTATGTGTTTGGTCCTTGCATGGTACATAGAGTTCTTGCTAAGGTCTATTGCACTTTGACTGTCACAATAGACGACATACTCCTTCTGATGTAATCCAAGCTCTTGAAGCAACCATTTGAGCCATATCATCTCCTTGCCAGTTTCTGTAGCAGCAATGTACTCTGCTTCAGTTGTTGAANTCTTAGCATTCTTCATGTTGAAGCATTCTAGTACACGTTCAATGTACTTCTCCTAAGATAGCCACAACTTTCTACTTGTTCTCTCTCAAACTATCTTCATCTCTAGAATTTGTTGTGCTGGGCCCAAGTCCTTCATATCAAATGACTTGGACAGATCTCCTTTCAACTTTGCTATCAACCCCTTGTCTTTTCCTACAATTAACATGTCATCCACATACAACAACAATATAATAAAGTTATTCTCAGAAAATCTTTTGAAGTATACACATGGATCAGAATAGGTCTTTAGGTATGTTTGACTTTTCATGAATGAGTCAAACTTCATGTACCACTGCCTTGGTGCCTGCTTCAATCCATAAAGACTCTTATTCAATTTGCACACCATGTGTTTCTTTCCAGCTACTTCAAATCCTTCTGGTTGCTCCATATAAATCTCCTCTTCCAAATCTCCATGAAGAAATGCAGTTTTCACATCCAACTGCTCCACTTCAAGATCTAGGCTAGCTGCTAAGCTCAAAATTGTTCGAATAGAAGTCATTTTAACAACGGGGGAGAAAATTTCGTCAAAATCAATACCTTTCTTCTGTTCGAAGCCTTTAACCACCAATCGAGCTTTGTATCTGACCAGCTTGCCATCTCCATCTTTCTTGAGTTTAAAGACCCATTTGCATTTGAGTGGTCTTTTACCCTTTGGAAGTTCAACCAGCTTGTATGTGCCATTTTTCTGGAGAGATTCCATCTCTTCTTGCATAGCTTTCATCCACTGGTTCTTTTCTGGATGGGACAACACCTCCTTAAGACTTTCTGGCTCCCCCTCATCACTGATGAGGACATACTCTGTGGAAGGGTACCTGCGTGACTCTACCCTTGGCCTCTCTGATCTCCTCAGAGGTTGAGGTTGTTCTTCTCCCTGAATGGGGTGCTCCACTTCCTCGACACCTTCATCAAGTTGCTCCCCCTGCTCAATAACCTCACCAGGTTGCTCCCCCTGCTCGACAACCTCGTCGGTCGTACTTTTTGCACTTATGCGATTGTTAGAAGTAGAAGGAATAGTAACAAGGTTAGGAATTATACCATTCTTCGCCTTTTCTGACATATCAGCAGCAATTCCAACTTCACTTTCTCGGAAGACTACATCTCTGCTTTTGATGACCTTCTTCTTTACAAGATCCCACAGTCTGTACCCGAACTCTTCATCTCTATATCCGATAAATATGCAGGGAACAGATTTGTCATCCAGCTTTGTTCTCTGCTCTTTTGGTACATGTGCAAAAGCTCTACAACCGAACACCTTCAGATGCGAGTAGGACACCTCCTTGTTGGTCCAAACTCTCTCTGGGATTTCAAACGCCAACGGAACTGATGGACTCCTATTGATCAGGTAACAGGCTGTCAGAACTACTTCACCCCAGAATGACTTAGGCAGTTTAGCCATTCTGAGCATGCGTCTCACCTTCTCCACAATGGTGCGGTTCATCCTCTCGGCTATGTCATTGTGCTGTGGGGTTCCAGGAACTGTCTTTTCATGTCTGATCCCATGACTTGAACAATACTCTTCAAATTCCCTTGAAGTGTACTCACCTTCATTGTCACCTCGGAGACGCTTTAGCTTTCGACCCGTCTCCCTTTCTACTAGAGCATGAAACTTCTGAAAAAATTAAAACACCTGATCTTTGGTTTTCAAAATATAAACCCATAATTTTCGTGAAGCATCATCAATAAAAGTAACAAAATATTTGTTACCGCCCATTGATTCAATTTCCATTGGGCCGCAAACATCAGAATATACTAAATCAAGTATATTCAATTTTCTTTCAGACGATGTCTGAAATGAGACTCTATGCTGCTTACCAAATAAACAGTAGTCACAAGGTTTTACCGTTGTACCTTTGGCATAAGAAATGAGTGATTTCTTGGCAAGAATCTGCAATCCCTTCTCGCTCATATGACCCATTCTTTTGTGCCATAAATCTACAGAAATCTCATCTTGTGCCGCGTTCAATTCACCTTGGCATATTTCTGCATTTGTCCTGTACAACGTGCCACGAGCAACTCCCTTTGCAAACAATAATGATCCCTTAGTGAGTCTCTACTTTTGATTCGTAAAATAGTTCTCGTATCCATCTCGGTTTAAAGCAATTCCCGAGATCAAGTTCATCCGCAAATCAGGTACATGCCGCAC